GGCGAGAGACGAATGAGAGAGATGAGTGTCGAAGGCCTTCCTGAAGTCCAGAAAGACTATGTCCACTGCCACACCTGTGTCTAAGGATTTTGTGACTTGGTCGTAGAAGGGCACCAGGTTGGTCTGACAGAACCTGCCTCTAATGAACCCGTGTTAGTTGCCCCTAAGCATAATCTTCCCTGCTGGTCCCTTGCAGATGTGTACCTGGATAATTTTCTCTAAGACCTTCCCCAGGACCAAGGTAAGACTAACAGGCCTATAATTTCCTGGGTCCTCCTTCCTCCCTTTTTTGAAAATGGGGACCACACTGGCCCTTTTCCAGTCCTCTGCCTGTTCTTTTGTAATATCTTTCAGAGGATCCCAAGAATTAATGACATAGGCCTCCCAACATCCTTTAGCTTGATAAGATTGTACCCATTTCACAGAAAAGTAAACAGGCACAGAAAGTTTGAGTGAGATGTCACAGGTGTCCCTGCTAACAACATATTCTATCATGCTTGCAGAGAGGAATTAGGCACTTTCAACTGGTAGATTATTTTACATATAGCAAAGTTTATGCAAGTATTTGAATTTTAAGAGTCTAGCCCAGGGGTGGGCAAAATATGGCCTGCAGCTGCATCTGGCCTACAGCGGGTCCCTCAGCCCCACTCAGCCCAGGCACCCAGGGCACCCTGAGCCATAATGCACGTGGCCAGTCCCACCACCCGCAAGCGTGCAGTGGGGGTAGGGCAGTGCAGTAGCTGAACTTGCTTTCCAGCAGCTCTCACAGTGGTGGCTTCTTCTTGCTGCTGCTGCCAGTTTCTGCTGCCACCACAGAACTTGGCCTCACTGCTGGGGCACCCAGGCCTGTCTGCTCTGCACCCACTGCTGGGGTCATTAGATGTAGCAGGCAGGCAGGGTCTTCATGGAGATTAGCTCAGGACCTGCTTGGGCAGGGCACACTCAGTGGGGAGGATGGGATGGAGCCACATGTGGGCAGGGAGCAGCATCTGGGAGCAGAATGGGTGGGTGGAATTAGGGCTGGGATTGGGATCATAGGGTGGTGACAGGGCCTCTTGTGCTAGGCATCCCTGCCTGCCTATGATCCCATCCCATCTGCCTGGCTGAGTATGCCCTGCTCACGTGGGTCACAGGCTGGTCTCCATGAAGACCCAGGGATCACTGAGCAGTGACCAGGGCTGGGGGCAGAATTGTGATCTGCTCTCTGCACACCCCCGCCCACAGAACTGGTACCTGTTGCAAAGTCGTGTGGGGCTTTGTCCCATGGCTCTGTCCCAAGCTATCACAATCTCACAATCCTGATCCCAGCCCTGCCCACCCATCCCACTCCTGGATACCCCTCCCCACCTGTGGCCCCATCCCATCTGCCCAGCCGAGCACAAGGCAGAGCCACTTAGGGAGTTTTGGTGAGCTGTTGTGACCCATGGAGGGAGTGGTGGGGAGTACTGATCTGGCCTACAACAGGTCACTGGAACTCCCTAAGTGGCCCTCCAGCCCAAATAATTGCTCCCCCCTGATCTAGCCAGAGAAAACATTGCAAGCTCAAGGGTCATAGAAAGACATAGACTGGCATTGCCACTGGAGGGAAAGGGGCACCGCGTGTCAGATCGGGCCATAATTTTCTATAGAAGATCAAATTTCCACAAGAAAAGAGTAGGACAAAGAAAAGAAGGATATTATTTTAAGGAAGAAACAGGTGTTAAAATGCAGAGCAAAATCTCATAGCATCAGGTGTTATTCAGCACTGGAACAGACAAACAATGAATTCTAATCCTTGCTCTGATACTGACCTGTGTGGGAAGTCAGGTGCAGCACTTCACTTGTCTGCCTCTGTTTCCTTTCTGTCCTTTGGCTTGTCTGTTTAGATTGTAGATTCTTTGGCGCAGATATTATGGCAATCACAATAGGCCCTGATCTCAGCTGGGGCCTCTAGGAGCTAAGATAATACAAATAATGATGGATTGTTTAATTATAAAATGTATACAGAGTGATCCTAGCTCAAAATGTACTAGCTAATCTGATAGCTCATGGATCCCCAGATTTTGCTTTACAGACCTATTGGTATACTTCCTAGTGGTTCATGGGGAGCATGTCCTGTTTCCAGCTGCTCTTAGATTAACTAGACTTTTTTTTTTGCAAAGGAAAAGTATTTCTGTAAACTGTTTCCATATTTAACTAGCTTATTTGTTTTTTTTTAAATATGTATTCACTGCATCCCAGGAAAAAGCCCTTGTAATTTTTTTCCAGTGATTTTACAATGCTAGCCATGGGGGAAATTAGGACTATCAATCGGTGTCTGGAAAAGAGTTAGCAAGAGTTAATTAAAATGTGTATGGATAGGCCTGCCCTGCATAGATATATTTCAGCTAGCTCTAATCTAGCTAGCTCAGTATCAGTTGCAAGGAAGCCACAGCAACATGGGCACCAGCTGCTGAGTTAGAATCAGGGTTTTTGATGGGCCTATGCCATGGCTTCATTGCTGTAGGTATCAAAACAAACTAGAATAAATGAACTTGGGTACATTGCACAAGCTGCAAGCATACCTGCCAAATGAAGTGTAAAATATGCTCTGAGATTCTGACAGGTATCATGACAACCAGTCAGTCCTTCCCCTTGTCCCATGAGCTGAGGAACCATATGGTGAAATTCTAGTTAGTACACTTAAAGTAAATACCATACATCCCTCCCCACTTTTAACAATCCCCAAGAAAAAATTGACTAAATTTATCATAGTAAACAGCCTCTCTTAATGAACTTGAATCTAGATGCTACTGAGGTTCCTTATAATGGTGCTTTGTATCTGATGAACTGTTTTTCATGAAGGTTGTAGTCATCTAAAGGAATCATTTTATGTGCCTGTCATTGGGAGCCTGTGCTTTTCCCACTGAAGTATTGTAGAATCTTGGTATTAATGTCAGACCCAAAGTCAAATTCTGCATCTGGAACTTAGCTCTGTATATTTATATGCTGATTCCAGACAGTACTACTCAGGACAGCTATGATAGGAATAATCAAATCTCATTTTCCAGTGCCTACAGTGACTGACTGAAGGTGTTAAGAAGGAATTGTTTTTGCCAGTCCTACAATATCCTGATGGCTTTGCACAATTGGTTATATGCATCATACAGAATCTTCATTCTAAGTATCAGATGCTGGCCACTGCCTCGAGCAACATCCCAGACTTGCTGAAGTGGTGGTCTGATGGCTGTAGAAAATGGTGTGCTTTTTCCCTTTGGAGTTGTACATCCAGCAGGTACGTGACTGAACAACATCCAATTAGAGTTTGGTTGGCTAACCTGTGTTCTTCTGGTGGCTCCTTCATCCAAACTTTGTCCTTCAACAAAAACAGACATGATTTAAAGTTAGGAGTAACTTTAATACCTTAACCTCTAAATTGAAATCCCAAATCAAGAGTCCTTTCCCATTAATCCCTGAATGTTCATACATTCTCCCATTTGACAATTTAGGGATTATGCTGGATAAATCTTTTCAAATCTCGTCATAAAGCAGAAACAGTTATGGAAGGATTATAGAAGGGTATGCAAGATACACAGCAGTCCATGGTGATCATTATGGCCCCAATCCTTGAAATGCTTAGGCATGCTTATGCATAACATTAGTTACAAGAGTAGGCCCATTGACATCAATGGGATTATTTATATGAACAAGATGACTGTTTGCTTGATCGGGGTTTCTGAAGTTACAGTTCCTTTCAAGCAGTAAGTTTGCTGTTTGCTTCATTTCTTTAAAATGGAGAAAGCAGGAGCTCTGATTCATTTGGTTGTGGAAGTGAGAGAGTCTAAAACACTTGAGTGAAATGTACTATTATTTGAGTGGAGAATTTAAAAAAGCTTAAAATTATGAGCTATGGTTATGTCTTCACTTAATAAGGTATTAACTGACATTATGCTGTCTTTTGAGAGACTATGCATGTGGGTTAATAGTTTCTGGCATTTTGTCTACTGTAAATGAGCTTTCAGAGAAGGGGAAATAGTTACCGTACTGTCTTAACAGATTTACACATGTGAATTTTTTCATTTCTTATTTTTTAAAAGTGGGTGATTTTAATATGAATGGAAGCAGACTAACATGGGTCTGTGCTGAGTATCTTGACTGTTTTTAAAAGAATTGATCGGGTACACCCCATCCTGGGTATGCAGCAGCCCTTTAATTTTCCTTATTACTCCCCTAATGCATGACTTAATGCCAGGGCTCTGGTGTATCAGGGTTTTCGAGGGGCACAGAGTGATCTTAACACAGCAAGAGCGCGGCTGTGCCTGCTCTCAGGCAATCACTTTCCAACTCACTGCACCTTGATTCTTGCTGTCCCAAGCGCCTGCAGGATGAGTTCGTTTCTCTTCAGCTTGAACGCACGGCAGGACGGCGCAGAAGGGGGTTGCCTGCACCTGCCCGCTGCAGCCACTAGATGGCAAGCGAAGCGTTTTGAAACTCGGCTGGCAGAGGTGGCAAACAGCTGGGCTCTGGGGAAATGCCTCGACGTGCCCCGTGTCAACCCAGCCAATCTGACTCGGACGCAAATGTCCCCGCGTGCGCCATGCGGCGGGCCCGGTAGCCACTAGCCCGGCAAAAGTCCGCACCCTGCGCGCGGGCTCAGCGGCCCGGGCCCGCAGCCCTCCCGTGCGCGCGGCTCTGCACGTGCGCGCGGCCGCACAGGTGAGGCGG